GCAGGGGAGAAGACAGATGTGGAAGACGATGAAGCGGGCAGCTCAGCCGCCTGTCGTTAGACGAGTTTTTGACGCATTACAGTGGCAATATTTGATGCATTTTTTGGGATTCTTTGCTACATTGAGTGTCATGGGGTTTTGGAGTACTGTGAAAGGTGCAAGGAGGTGGCGAGATAAGCAACGCCAATGATGACGCAGAGGAGGTTCTGGTGTATTATGCTATTTTGAACTTGTGCTGTGGACCTTCAGCGGTTGTGTTGGTGTCTTTGCTAGCTGCGTGCTGGACATAGCAAGTTCCCTGCATGACACTTCTGCACGATGCAACATTAATGGCATCTAAGATGCATCTTGAAAAACTCAAATCCTTCAAATTCACAGAATTTAACCATATAGTCAACACACTTTTCAATCCAATGTTGACAGCAGAAAGTGAAAGGCACCGACACCACACACCATCGGTACTTGGCAGGAGCATAACTTAACCTTTTAGTTCATCGTGCTTCAGGACACAAACACAAGCACTTCGTCCAGGAGCAACCATGCCATGCACTTGGTGAAGGGGGATCTCAATCTGAATAAATTTGTTGTTTTCCATCAGGGAAATATAAAGAATGACATATCTTTACTGTGCCTATTTTCAGCTGAGGTCAAAGCTTCGCGGAGAGGCCAGCTTTCGCATGGCAGATTTTGTGAAACCATTGGCAAACGGCAAACAGCTTCCGCATCAGGCCGCCGAAGGCGTAAAACTCGCGGCAGGCAAGATGGGAAGAGCACACTTCTAACAATTTGAATGGTAAACAGAGTCGAAGACATCTTGATCATATCCTGGAGAACACAAACAGCCTGGTAACCGCCGAAGTACTTATTCTGGAGGTTTCCAGGCTTGTTTGCCACAGCATTTTCAGGTTTTCAGTTTGCAAACGGGTCTTTTGTCTGAGGAGAGTATTCAAGGTGCCGATAATTTCATTTGCAATTTTGGTACTTTTTTTGTGAGAATAGGGCATGAATTGGTACAGCAAATATGTTGGGGGGGTTGAATGCGGTATTAGAACAATACTTGGCCAAAGAGGGCACTCGTTGTTTGCACTCTTTGTGGCTTTGTGGGGTCCAGCAGCGTCCTTGCTCCTAGTAGTAAGGCCAGGAGCCCCTAGTAGCTCAAAAGAAAAAAACACAAAGAGCCTCAACTTCGATGCCAATTTGCTGCAGCACTGCTTTGGATCTCACAGGAGCCATCATCGAAGATGTCGCACCTCGGACTGTCAGAGCCGCTCCAGAGACAATCGACATGTTTTCGCTTTTATTGGTAGATGAAAAGGAGAAAAAGGAAGAAGGAGAGGACAACAGGATGGTGCTTGGGCACCTCTAGTAAGGCGCCCTTTAAAGTGGCCTATGTAATCAAATCTGCCCCAAACATTTTCCTTTTTCTACCCTTTTCTTTCGCAGATGTTCACAGCGAATGTTTTGGTCTTTCCACGTCTTTTGGTCCTGTACGCTCTGCGGCCAGTTTGATCTTTCTTTTGGCATAAACCTTTGAGTCCAGGCCGTCGAAGGAGATTGAAGCGACGCCTTTCATCTTCAATCAGGCAGGAAGACCTGAAGAACTGGTTCAAAAGAAGCCGATGAATCGGGAAAGGATTGTTGCAAAGGGAGCAAAGCTAACCAGGATTCCAAATAGGGCGACCGATGCTCCTTTGTTTGCATTTTCTGTCAGATAAGCTGAGGCCTTAGTGGCCGCCAATATCCTCCAATGCTTTTAAGGAACAACAGGAAATAAAGAAGGAAGGAAAAGACAGACAGTGTTTCTGACGTTTTGCGAATGGGGCACATTTGGAAGCTGACCGGAGGCCTCGTGCGCGTCTCACCAAGAGACTTCGGATGAATTCGCAGGAACATCAGGCGCTCCTTGGGTTAAGTTTCCCTTCGAAACGTGCGAGCGCTTCTTCAAAGACGCTCCTCCCGGCCGCCTTCAGGGTGGAGGGAGCTTCCTTGAAGAAGCGTGAGCTATCCTGCGTCCAGTTCCTAGTGGCGTCCTACCTAGGACCTAAGAGCTACTAAGTAGCTACCTCTTACGGCCTACCCCCTAATCTAAATTTTGAAAAAAACAACATAAGGAATAAGATGTCAATTGATGTGTTCACTTTGATTCGTTTGTTCTCGTCCTCAGTGCCAGGCCCAAAATACCGAAAAGAATGTGGGACGGTCACAGCGCGAGGTCTATGTTGGTGGCCTTGTTTGGAAGGATGCAAATCAGGAGTTCGACGTTCGATGCATACGAGAAAGTTCCCTTTTGCGTATTTTTTGATCTGAGCTTCAGCTGACATAGCTGACGTTGAATGTCTTCTTCAGCAAGTCCTGGGAGGACGCGATTGCTGAAGGATTGAACTCTGCATTTCGCGATGCTCGTTTGAATTCTATTTCTCTCTTGCCAATGACCTTTGGCTACGAACTGCTTGCCTTCCACGATAGCAAGTTTTTCATTCTTCATGGAAGTTTCGTTTCAATTCACCTAGGCCCTCCCAGACTTTCAACGTCTCTATCCAGATCTGCAAGACCCTGTCTTCAAGGCAGGATGAGTCATGATGAGTTGATGGATGTCGATCAATGCCCGTGTTGAGGTTGATGATTTGATTTTGTTTCAACAACATGAGATGAATGTCCAAATATCAAGGGGGAAAGAAAAGAGCGCCTCAAAGAATCATCTAAAAGACATGTATTTCATAGATGTTCATAGTATTTCCCAACCTCTCCAGTGGTCCCTTCTCTCTTGCCCTCCTGGACTTGCGGCGAGGTTCATTTCCCCGGAAAAGGTTGCTGTGCATCCGGTGCCTCATTTCCTATAAGTTTATTCATTGCACCTCAAAACAGAGCTTTACTATTGTTAGGATGGAGGCCATCACTAGTAGGTTGGAGGCCATTGCTATTAGGTTACTCATTTTCTGACAGTGTGAACTTCTGAAACCGACTGGAAGCTGTGAAGCTTTCGCTGATTCTACGATGTGTTCGGTTTCTTTCGGCCTATTTGATCCATGCACACACACACATATATATATATAATATAAAATATATATCATATAGATATATTGAATACATTTGTCTGCAAGACTTTGCTGCACAGCGCTTACCCGGGCAATTGTGTTGAACCAAGTCATTTCCATAGGTTGCAGTAACTGCCAAGCGGTTTACTGGAGAACCCCTTCTGGAGGAAACCAGGCACGTGTTGAGTGCCTTTACAACTCTTACCCCGTGCCATCGCGTTGTAACTTGCATGGTGCAGATAAGAATGCTGTTGACGAGCTCAACGAGCATCAAACCAAGTGAAAGAAAAGCCGCGAAGGTGCAAAAGAGCTTCAGATTGCAAGACGCAAATCATGTCACACACTCTATAGTAACAAGGGCATCGCTACTAGTAACAAGAAGCTAGTAGGTTGGAGGCCATCGCTACTAGCGCTACTAGTAGCAACAAGGGCATTATTACTACTAGTGATAATCCGTATGACGACCCTGGCCTATCCGCCAACAGGCCTTGACAGAACACCACGAGCCCCCTGTGGAGTAGGTTTACCTCAACTAATCATGCAAGAGAGGGAATAACACGAAGGGCAAGGAATTCAGCACATTTTGCACAAGGTTCTGACTACGGCTTGCTTGTGACTGCCACATGCACAATGGTTTACTGAACCAGACGACAGCTTACCTCATGATTCCACGTGAATCTAGATATATACTGTACTAGGCACTAGGTATATTAGGTTTAAGAACCCTAGTGATCCTTTGTGCATGGAAAGTGCGATAGAACTAATCTCTACCTCTGCATCCGAGGCCCTCGAGCGGAGTTTGCCAGTCTCTTTGTTTTTGTCGAATTTGTGGATCGCCGCCTCGCGCTGCTCTGAGAGGGGTGCAATGCTTAAATAACTTTCTAGAACATCATTGCACTAAGATGACAAGCTGCTAGCTTGACAGTTTGCTGATTCGTGCATTTTGTTATGTACAGCAGTTTGAGGAGGACAATGTCCATTGGTCGCTTGGCAATGACAGATTGTTTCAATATAGTGCCTCAGCTTAGGCTCGCACTGCCTTGCAGATGAGCGGCATTCGCATTTGTGGGCGCAGTGTTCGTATTGGTCCTGCAGGTGGTTTGGATGCTGAAGGACACTACAAAACAGTACGGTTTGGAAGATATGGAGGCACCGAGGAGCTAGTTAGCTAGTTGAACAAATGGAAGCAAACTTCATTTGGTCAAAGTCTTGGTGAGAATCCTTTGCTTCTAGGTTGGAGGCCGGGCCATTGCTATATATTACTATTACGTAGGTTGATGCCACCGACTCAACTGCACATTGACTGGGCAGCGGAGACTAAAGATCGATCAAGGCAACACAGACATAGCCCACAGCCATTTGCAGCTCTGTTAGGAGAAATGCTGGACGTGGAACCATTGAGGTGCTGAAGAACCCGAAAGCTCAAGCTTCCCGCATCATGGAATTGCAAAAAGGTTCAGAAGGTTTGCTTCATGTTTCTAACAGCAGCCCCTGCAGCTGTTTGGAATTCAGATGCGTTTTGGTGGTTAATCTCAATCCATTGCTACTAGGAGCAAAGACGCTACTAGGGGCTCCTGGCATCGCTACTAGGAGCAAGGACGCTTCCACTTCCCGACTTCAGCTGTGTCCAGGGCGAAGGAAGAATTGCCAATGAGCGGAGGACCTGGGACACAGATGTTGCTGAACGTTTGGCCGCTCAGCTGAACGTTTGGACAATTCGTCCAGCAACGGGTGAGATGCACTCCCTCCGTGCCAGAGAGGTTCACATTTTTGGGCATAATTTGATTCTGAAACTGGTTGAAACGGGCTTAATTTTAATTCATTTCTTAATTTATTTTTAGTTGATTCTTGAAACAGATTCCCTTAGATGAAAGACTCTTATGTCTTGCAAACCTTTGCGAGGATCGGAAGCATACCAATGCGCATTTGTCGAGACGAACTGCCGCACAGCTGCAGATAGGGTGCAGCATTTCAGCGTGGTATTTGTAAGGCACATCCCAGATGCTCACAATCGAAATTCTTGCCGCCTTGCCATGTTGGCTCAAGTATTGAACTTGGATTGCACGGATTTCGCTCGCTTTTTTAGCTGAAGCCTGGGATTTCCCGATGTTGCGACGAGTCCCTTCTTTGTCCCGTGCTTTCCACAGATGTCGCTGCCGCTTTTCATCAAGCAGTGGACCACCTCAAGTTACAAAATCCGAACTGGAAATTCCGTGGCATATAGTGATCCCTGTAGGACTGACACTTCTTGTCGTTGGGAAAGATGCTTTTCCGTCTGAGCCCAAGAAGAAGGCGGAGCAAAATTCTGACGAAGATGAAATTGAGAAGAGGTTGAAGCAGGAGCTTCAACAGACCTCTTTCAAAGAGTGGAAATCTGCCGGATTTGACCCGGAGGCGACATCGACAAGCAAGAGATGACTTTCTTTGACGCTGTCAGGAGTAATGAGATGTAATGAGTAATGCCTTTCAGCCTTTCACGACTTTCATCACCACACCGGATGCAGACTCTCGTACATCGATGACGTCCCATTGTGCTCAGATGTCGCACCTCGAGCGTATCAAATTTCACCTCGGCGCGAACAAACACGGCGAGACTTGAAAAAGGTTCCGAAGTACTTCAACTTTCATACTTCAACTTTCACCATTCCGGTCCAAAACCTATTTACATGGTCCACCGGCCCACTCCCTTTATTTCTGGGGATATTCTTTGGAAGTGAATCCATTAGTAGAGTACAGGATCTTGGAAGTGTTTGAGCAAGTCCTCGACACATACTCACTGAGGCGCACAGCTGGCGACGGGACATTGGAGAGTCAGCTTTGTCCTGACCTTGGAGAGTGGAAAGAAAGGCTAGTTTGCAGAAAGAAAGGACTCGGCCAGTTGTGCAATTTGACATATGACATAGTGACATTCTGACATTACACCTGAAGTATGTCAGTTGCAACTCTTCGAGTGAACTGAGTGAACTGTGTGTCCCAAGGTGTTGCTGTGCTGCAGCTTCCAGGAGTGCGAGAACGATATCCCAACCTCGAGCGGCCGGTGGCGTCCATAAGGCGCCGAAGATACAACAGATTACAAAAGACTGTTGAGTCATTTTGAGTCCTTTTTCATTTTGGTATGTTTGAATATTGCGACCTTGATTGGCGACGCATCCTTGTGAGGTTTAGTGACTGCCTGCGCTATGCATTTGTGGAGGCAGCCACTGAGTTGATCGCCAGCTCAATGGTGGCAGCAAAACAGATGCTCGGCGTATCCAATAGGTCTGCCATTTAGTTCCCAGACCCAGCATTCCTCCCTCAAATCAATGGCGCCGATGTGCAAGACTGTTTTGACACAGTCTTCGATTCCTCCCCGAGGCTGACACTGGAGAATGGCCTTGACATCGGCACTGGTTGGCCCGCCCGGGTGCCTCAGAGCCTCTTTGTCAGAAACAACAAGAAGCAAGAAGCAAGATGAAGCCACTAGTAGCAAAGGGCATCGCTACTAGGAGCAAGGAAGCTACTAGTAGCTCCTGGCCTTACTACCAGGAACAAAAAGCTACTGGTCTCGAATCTTCGTTGAACGCATTGCTCCGTTTGGCTCCATTCGGCAGCGTTCGGCAGCATTGTCTTCGATTCAACGGAGGCTCCGTTCAGCGCACTTGATCGAAAACCTTACAAATAGGTCTTGGACATAGCTATCCTCTACTACTGGCAACAACACCTCTTAACTGCCCTAAAGAGGCCTTGTTCAGGCCTGAACACCTACTTTTTGTTCTTCTCTTCTTCTTTTTCTTACAATGCTTCTTATACCATCCGACAGCAAGTGTTAAATCACGAAAGCTAGCATCAGCTAGCTGGAGTTGTCCTTGCTTTAGCAAGTGAGATCGCCGCATCACGTGAAAACTTCATATGTAGAGGGCCCCCCCCCCCCCGCGGGTTCAACTCCCCCCTGGGACGCCTCTGGGACGGACACCTCTTGGACACCTCTTATGGCATCCACTTTGGTTCAACTCCTCCGTGGAGGTTTTGGGATACGATGCTAAGGTTGGCTGTGTCATTGCTGTTCGTGTGTCTTACATGTTCACAACGTTTTACCTCATGAGCGAGACCTTGTGAACCATCCCTCCAACAGCCCCATGCCGCATGCCTATGAAAAAAGATTTGCCTCACTCCGCTTGATGTCCCACCAGTCCTTTGTCACTGGACGGCGCTGTATGCTTCGCCTCCACTGACACGGATGCATCCCTGCTAGCTTTCGTCACCTACCCTCGGCCTCAAGTTCCTTTGAGGCAAGCCTCCTGGACGCGGAAAAGCGAGCACCTCCACCATTGGCCGCTGACGGTGGCGAAGTGGGACGAATCGAGTGTGCCAGCTGGTTCCTATGGTCCAATGGTCCTGTGGTCTTTTTTAAAAGTAGTTACTGTAATATGGCCTCCAACCTACTAGCGATGGCCTCCAACCTAATAGCGATGTCCTCCAATGACCAGCTGGAACGATTCTTCTATTTCATACGCCAAGGTGTTTGAAGGCACAGTAGATGAAACATCCCTCTTATGTGCTTCGATGCAATTTGGAGCTGCTTCATTGTTTCCGACCATCACCTCGTGAGTTATACATGGTGTCGGGTTTCCCGCAGGCAGCATCTCCAAGCCTGGGGAGGCGCAGCTTGGGGGGATCGATTGCTTGGAAGTTGTAAGCTGTAGCAGCTGTGGCAGCTGTGATGTGTGGCTAGAAAAGCCTTGTAGCATTCCAAACACAACCAAGTCAGCCGAGTGAGGAAGTCACGAAGCCAGAACTTCCTTCAGTATGGGAAGATGACTTCTTGGAGAGGCCAGTCGTTTCAAGATGACTTCATCCTTTTGGAAAAGAACCTAGTAGCTCCTGGCCTTACTACTAGTAACAAGAAGCTACTAGGAGCAAGGGCAGCGCATTCTTACTACTCAGAGACCTTTGAGACCTTTAGCCAGGATGGATTGCGAGATTTTTATGGGCGGTGTCTCGGGGCTTCAGGCACGTGTGAGAGAAGCAACCGGCAGAATCGATCTGAAGAACCCCGTACTTGTGACACATGTTCAAAGTGGTATGTGCTGCAAGACTTAGGCTCCAAGAATTTGCTTCAGAAGTCTCTATTGCTTTGAATCTGCTCAATGTATGCTGTATCACGCTATCGGTTCCACCTGTCTACCTCATGCCTTCCGCCTTCCTACAATCGGTCTTCGTGTGAGCTAAATAATCAACTAAGGAAGCATAAGCTTGCTCTTCACTCATCAGCATAGGCAGCCCACGCAGTCAGGTTGAGGACCTTTGGCAAAAGTTGACGGCTGTGCTGACTGCTGTTTGGAAGCACTTATCGATGTTTGGAGAGAACATAAAGCTGTTTCGGGCTCGAATCTTGTGGAGATTCGTTTCATTGCTGTGACAAAAGATGAGAAGTATGCTTGAACACCCTTCTACAGACGGGGGGTATTTGTGTTCAACAAGGCATTGTTTTGGTAGAAACCTATATAGGAGGTAGGATTCAATTTTCGACGCATTCTTCTTCTGTAGGCTTTACCCTCCTACGCCGCGCACTTCGGAGACGTGTGGGGATGCTTAGCCTGGAAAGAAGATCCAACAGTGGCACAAAGAGAAGCTTGAACTACGCGTTTGTTCTTTGGATTGAGAGCATCATCCAAGCCCAATGGTCAGGGGCTTGAAGTCAATTTTAAACGCCAATTGGCCAGCGATGGCAAAACCTGGCCGTCAGCTTGCAATGTAGGTCTGGAATGTTTGGCAGCCATGGCAGTTTCTGAGCGTCAAAATCGCTTGCTGTCCTGTCTCACGCGGATATAACGCCTGTGCCTTTGCTCCACAAGGTGTTGGTAGTCGGCACTAGCCGCACTAGCTTCTGCTTGAACGATGTGACTGCAACTGCTGCAGGGAACATCATTGTGTCCTCAAGGTTACAAATTCCTTCATTGACCAAGCTTGAAACCTCCATGTAGCTATGCAACCGGTCAGAGGCGGTCCGTCTCTTCTTTTCCCAAGAAGCTGTGCCATCCGTGTACGCCAACTGCGATGGGAATTAACGATCTTGCAACTCGCTTGAAAGCAATATTTGATGGCTGATCGTTGAGCTGTAAACAGACAGAGTGAACAAGCGAGGTGAAACACTACAGGTGAAACACTCATGCCTGGCGCTAAGTTAAGTTTCCCTAAGTGCGTGAGCCCCCCAGCGTCCATATGTAGTAGCGTCTTACTTAATAGCTACTATAGCTACCTCTTCACCTCTATCATGGCCTACCCCCCTTCCCCCCTAGCGGCCTTAAACAAAATCTCTGGAACCTGTATGGTCTGGAGCTTGGACCTCGCAAGGGTTGCACTGAGCATGCTCTTTGCTGGGGTCGTTCCATTCAGTAGAGCCTATTCAGCCCATAATTGTTCACTACTTCCTGGCATTTGTGTCTTCTGCGTCGTGCATGTGCAACATAAGCGCAGCAAATCCTGCGCAAGACTTCAGGTCCATTCCGATCGTCAACATTCGCAAGAATGCCGGGGGCCTCTTCGCATTTGCTCGCTTGGCAGATCCCAGGCTCGAAATGGAAGATAGACTGTAATTCGTCTGCAGAAAGAGCAGAACGACCTCAAGATCAGCCAAGACTTCATGTGCAGGTTGGCAAGCACTGCAGTTGCGCTGGGCGAGATGTGGGTCAACGGAAAGAAGGCCCTTGTTGAAGCTTTAAGTTTACATTGATATCCTGTTTCTTGCAACTCATTCTCATGGTACTCAGTCGTTGCGGCGAAGAGCAACAAATTGATAATGGCCTTGTTTTAGGCAAGCTAGAGAGGGCGCCGAAGCGTTCATGGTTGATGCATTTTGATTGAAGAATTCAGGTAGTGTTCAAGAGACCTACAAACTGCATGATCTCACACACGTCAGCTCCGCCCCTGGATTTGCCGCTTCCTCTGCAGCTACATTGTCCTGCAAAGTGTAGACTTTTGGTGCAAAGGACAAGTAGCGTCCTTGCTCCTAGTAGCGATGCCCTTTTCCTAGTAGCTATTTGTTACATTTTGTTACTAGTAGTAAGGCCAGGAGCGCCCCTAGTAGCGTCTTTGCTTGTTTCTTCACAAGCCTGGTCTAAGGACACCTTCCCTTCTGCCTCCTCCACCTCCACCAGCAGTGGACCCTGAGGTGCAATGAAGCCCAAATGATTGTTTTGAAACGCACATGAAAGAACATAGCCTGAACCTGAAGAGAAAAGACACTTGGCACTTGGGATATGCCGCGGTGATGACTCCCAGGTACCAAAGGAAGTTGAAATTCCGCCAACTCCACCAACAGCACCAATTGCTCACACTCTTTGGGTTGGAAACCTTCCAAGTGACTTATCTTAAGATGCGAGTTATACAAGCGAGAAGACAACAACTGCTTGGGTGCTTGGTGTCTTTTGGCAACGACTTTAACACCAGAGTCTAGCTCTATGGTTGCGAGTCCTGTCAAACATGGCAAGTCCAAAAGATGAACTGACAGAGTCGGATCACTATGATACTTTCAGACGAGAATGGAACAGTGAGGTCGACGAGTGCTTTTGTCAAGCCTCGAGGACGAGGAGGCAAATGAGAAGGTGAACCGTCAGGACGAGTTGTTACAACTGAGCTGTGTTAAGAATGCATTTTTCCCGAACGCATCTGCGAAGGGTTCTCCGTAAAGAACGGCCGCCAACTTCAACTGTCCAACCAGCAGCATCTTCATCATCGTCGTCTTTTTTTCTCGATGCCCTCATCTTCATGAGGTCGCGGTGACCCACTTCCATCTCTCACAAGACGGGTCTTTACTCCTGAGCCACGTGTGGTCTTCAGTCAAATGAGTGAGCGAGTTGCAGGGCCAGGGTTTCAGTGCTGAGCCTGACACACCCGCCTCTCCCGCAGAAAAGCATGAAGCACCAATTTGTAGTACAAAAGTAGCTTTTTGGATCTCTGGGCTGCATGTAGTGTGTAGCGCAGTACACTGGCGAAATTAGGTCTGTGCCATGCGTTTTTGCGCGGCCTCGGTGGAAAGTGCGTTTGCATGGCTCCGTGACTCCGTGCCCTCGGGAAGTGGGAAACATGCGCGTGTAAACGCATCGCGTCGCTGGTGAGCAGGTTGAGTGGTGGTTTCCCAGAAGAGTGTCCTGCAAGAGTGTCCAACAAGAGTGTCTGACAAGAGTATCACACAAGAGTGTTGTACATGAGTGCGCCTATTTTGAGACTATCGGATCTACAATATCTGCCAATATCTTGACACTAGCAGAGCACCATTGTGGCACCATTGTGATCGTCGTTTTTATATCCACAACCACCATCACAGTCGGCATCAAGCTCATCCTTACGTACGGTGCTTTCGGGCTGTGTCATCTAGTTTTCCTTCTATTTTTCCTTGTTACTAGTAGCTTCTTCTTTCTACTAGTAAGGCACTTGTTACTAGTAGCGAGGCACTTGTTACTAGTAGCGAGTTTTTCCTTCTATTTTTTCTCTTCATAAATTTTGGTGGGTCCGTGCAGTGGTCGTGTGCGAGTCCAAAGAAGTACTCTAGCAGCCATGGTCAAACATGGCATGAATCTAAGCTCGCGTGCGAAGCTGCATTTTCAATCTGTAGCTACCACTAGGCCACTAAGGTCAAGTTCAAAAGACCATGTTGGGTGCCATGAGGAGCTTCTCAGGCGACGCCTGGACCACCGGTTGAACGAATTGGCCATGTCTATGCCCGGCTATGACTTCGAAGATGGACGGTGGATTGAATCGTGATCACTGCAAATCGATAACATATTGTATGACTATGTAGTAATACATCATAAATCATCCAATTTCAAAAACACTCAGCATACTTTGTCATTTACTATGTTCTATCTAGATGTAGAGCGAGGACCGCCGCTCTGCGACCATCGGCTCTCAGTGCATCACTCTGGCCATTTTGCCTTTCTCGAGATCATTGCCTCTCAGGACGGCTTGCCGTTGCCTTTTCGTTTGGATTTGTTTGGCAGGTTGGAGGCGTCAAAGTGCTACCAGTGTCACACAATGTCTCGCAAGGTTTCACACATGTTGTCCTATTGCAGTTCCCCTCTCAGTATCGAGATTGATCGATATTGATAAGGAGCGGGTGGAACAGCTCCTGGAGGCCTTCGATGGAAAGGATTTCATGGGTCAACCTCTGGAGGTGAATTGGTCACGCAAGCAGCAGGCGGACAGCGGCGAACAGCTGGGCAAAGAAAAAAAGAACACCCACCTCCATCCTACTAGCAATGGCCTCCCACCTGAAGCGATGGCCTCCATCCCAAGGAGTCTTAAGTTGAAGAGTTGTTTTGTAGAGTTGAGTTAAGGACATTAATTACCACTCTCGACTCCTCCTACCCTCGTTTGCACATTGCACTACAGTATGACAAATTTCTTGTTTCATTTCAGTGATTCCGTTGATTTCCTTTTTTGAAGCCCTTCGCCAGGCCAACCCGTGGCGGATCCGTAACCGTGTCATACCAATCCGAGTGCCCAAAGGCGATTGAAATCACTCAGACTTGCTTTTCACTATGTAAACATCGACCCAATCATGTTGAATTGACCCCATTGTGAATCTCGCCTCTATTGAAAAGTTGTCAGTAGTAGTGAGCTGCGTTCTTTTCAGCTTCGCCCGGTGAGGCCTTTTGCAGCTTCTCCCAGACCTGCCAGGAGCTGTTGCTTCACAGCAGACGGGAGTCTGCAGCTTTTGCAGCTAAGGTCAAGCAACGGGAATCGAGCTGACGAACTGCCTAAAGGTTCAAGGAGACTGCCATAAAAGCATAGAAAAGCAATCAGATCTATAAAGGAACGAGCTAGGGAAGAGAAAGAAGACAAGGAGAAAGAAAGGTCTGAAGGTTGAAAGAAAGAAATGGAAAGACAAATGGAGAACTTTCATTGAAATCCCTTCCTTCTCCGCCTGGACTAGATTTGAACACGAGAAGTGTCTAAAACTTTGGACCCGTCCTCCTTGGTGCCAGGAGTGAAGTCGAAGCAGACGATATTTGACATTTCGTCTGAGTGCTGATCCATCAGCTAAGACGCCGCGGCCAGGGGTCCGTCGGAGCATGCGTGCCTGCCACAATCGGACAGAGAAACATCGGATAGGCATGCTTCATCGCTCTTAGGTTGGCCACTGCTATTAGGAGCAAGGACGCTACTAGGGGCTCCTGGCCTTACTACTGGGAGCAAGGACGCTACTAGTAGCTCCTGGCATCGCTACTGGACTAGGTTGGAGGCCATCTATAGACATGCTTCCGCCGCCTTGCCGCGCCTCCTGGTCACTCACCGCGGTCTGCGTGGGAGCACGCAGCTCGGGTTCCACAATTCGATGCACCTAGGGTTGGCGATCGCGACAAGCGCGCCATTGAGGGTCTGGAGCCGGTGATTCGCATTGGACTACGAATCGCGAAAGCTTCACACATTAGATTGATCATCATGAGAAGTGGGGAAGCAGGAAAGGAGTTGTGCGCCGCGCACCGTCTTGGGTCAGAGAGGACTCCAGGACTAACACACTTCAACCATGACAAGTCTTGTCTATCTTTGGTGTCAGAGCTTTCATGGATTTCTTTGGCAGCGCATACAATTGGCTCATCTCGCGCTTCAGCCTGTGGCGTCGGCTCCCCGCAACTTGGAGAGGGATTCTCACAAAATTAAGACGAGCATGACATCTTCAGAAAGGCAGATGATGCCAAGTCTGGGTTGCAAAGTGAGGTTGACCTATTCAAAAGGTCATTTGCCCTCCCACACTGAGGATGAGATGCTTCTAGCTCGGCAGCCTGTGAGGTGGCTTTTATGACGCTTGCTTGCATTTGTCAAGATCCCGAAGAAAACAACCTGGATAAGTCCGACTGAAACGTTTGCTATTGCAATGAACGCATGTGTGGACATGTGCTTCAGCTGCTGCTTGGCACGACTCAGGGCTTGGCTTTCTGGATGCTACTTGTGCTGGAGAGCTTAGATGTGCTACAGAGGCCAATCGTCGGTTCTCACTCGTCCTGATTACGGGCTGTTTGTGCTTTCACTTCTTGCTCCTAGTATATAGCTTCTTGTTCCTAGTAGTAAGGCCAGGAGCCCCTAGTAGCTTACTTGCTCCTAGTAGCGATGCCCTTTGCTCCTAGTAGCTTCACTTCTTGTGCCCACAGCAATTTCGGCTCCGCTGCCTTCCTTTTTCCCTGCTTTGAGCTCTTTTGACCAACACTCAGTCATTGGACATGAGGTCGCTTGTGGCTTTGGTGGCACTACCCCTATTTGCTGTTGGGACCCCTGACTGGTGCAAGTGGGTACCCTACAGCTCTTTGCAGTATGTTGCAGATTGCGCGGGCTATTCGGGACACAGCAGTGGCCCAGCACAAACCTGCGCCAGCTGGTGTGAATGGGTGCCATCTCCATCATGGTCCACAACAACCCAGTGCAGCAAGTGCTCAGAGCTCTTCCCAACCCCAAGTGCCAATGACTTTGCTCATGATGACTGTGCCAGCTGGTGCCAGTATGTGTCAAGACCGGCGTGGCAATATGCACCGGATTGCCAAACTTGTGAACAGGAGATTGCAAATGCAGCCGCCAAGCCTGCTGCAGCCACAGTTGCAAAGTCTAAGGCAGGGGATGAGAATGCCAAGCCTGAGGGAGCAGATGTAAAGGCAGCTGTTGGCATCCCTGACTGGTGCAAGTGGGTACCCTACAGCTCTTTGCAGTATGTTGCAGATTGCGCGGGCTATTCGGGACACAGCAGTGGCCCAGCGCAAACCTGCGCCAGCTGGTGTGAATGGGTGCCATCTCCATCATGGTCCACAACAACCCAGTGCAGCAAGTGCTCAGAGCTCTTCCCAACCCCAAGTGCCAATGACTTTGCTCATGATGACTGTGCCAGCTGGTGCCAGTATGTGTCAAGACCGGCGTGGCAATATGCACCGGATTGCCAAACTTGTGAACAGGAGATTGCAAATGCAGCCGCCAAGCCTGCTGCAGCCACAGTTGCAAAGTCTAAGGCAGGGGATGAGAATGCCAAGCCTGAGGGAGGTTTGAAGTTGAAGTCTAGTTTCGCCCGCCCTGACTGGTGCAAATGGGTGCCATGGGGTTCCTTGCAATATGTTCCAGATTGCAATGGAAGCTGGGGAAACACCTATCAAGGTGCGTATTGCGCCAGCTGGTGCCGCTGGGTCCCATCCCCATCTTGGCAGTACACACCTGAGTGTCTTCGATGCTATTCAGTCACACCAGGTGTTGCCACTCGATGCGCAAGTTGGTGTGAGTGGGTTTCAAGGCCAGCGTGGGCAAACACTCCAGAATGCACTCAGTGTAGCTCTGAGCAAGATGACTCTGACAATACCATTTTGCCATGATCGCTGATGCAACAGCCGTCAGCGTAAAGTTATGTAAAGTCTGTAAAGTTATGCAAGTCATTGCAAGTTGGTGTACAGCCATTCTGTCCATGGTTTTGTCAGCTCGTCTAGCGAGTCTAGCAGATGACGCTCAAAAGTGTCCTCTTCCAAGGTATTTGTTTCAGTGATTCAGGCGCACAGCATGTCATTGCTTGGCACTTGCAGGTAACTCCACAACTGCGAAGTATACAAATCTGAGACATCACAAGGACGCTACTAGGGGCTCCTGGCATCGCTACTACAAGGATGCTACTAGCTCCTCCTGGCCTTACTACTAGGAACAAGGATGCTACTAGTAGCATATTTGAAGGATGGCCAGTTCAGAGAACTTGTCGCTTCACTTTCGCAAGGCTCACGTCGTGCCAAGAAGCCATTTTTCGAAAAGTTCTGAGGCTTGGGGACCAGCAGGTCATGAGCGCCTCAACGATGTAGCGCAACGGCTGCTGCATGGTGCCACGGCCAAACTTCCGACCGGCTGCAATGGCCTCCAACCTACTAGCGTTCTTGCTCCTAGTAACGTCCTCTTGTTCCTAGTAGCGTCCTTGTTACTACTAGTAAGGCACTTGTTACTAGAAGCGATGCACTTGTTCCTACTAGCGTTCTTGCTCCTAGTAGTAAGGCCAGGGGCCCCTAGTAGCGTCCTCTGCTCCTACTAGCGACAGCCTCCACCATACTAGCGGCACTTTCAGCTTTCAGCGAACTCACAGCCTTTGAACTTCCGGCGAACCGTTCCAATTGTCTTTGTTTTTGCCTCAAGCATTTGACAGTCCACAGTGGGCCACCAATCCGGCCTTTGTCGATTTCGCCCGCGAAGCACTCTGTGACCATTTTCAAGCTTTGCATTTTGAGCGGACTCCCACTTGTGGCATGCCTAGGATGTGCAAACTCGCAAGAGGTTCGAGGTTCAAGACTGACAATAATGTGACAGTCTTTTTGACCAGAGGGTGAAGATGTTTGAATCCGAGGTAAGCATCGTGATCAGATAAGGACCATGTGGCGGCCTAAGCTGAGGGCATATTCACAGGCTATTGAGCTGGGCGATGAAAGAACATTTGAGGATGCACTCTGATGTGGTGAACATCGCCAACTGGGAGAAGATCATGGACGAGAAGTATCCAGAAACCTCCGTGCTTCACTGGTATCATGGCAAGATTGATTTATGCCAGGTTCAAAACGGTGAAGGCTGAAACTTGATTATTGCCTAGCGATCTTGCTTAAAGGCTTAGATTGTCTTAGCTTTGTAGCATCCAGTAGGCCTGGCATCTCCAAAATGATTCTCTTGCCAGGCACCACCAGCACCCAGAGTGGACTTGTGGACAGCGAGATGCACAAAAGTCAGGGCCACATCGGGGCACCAATTCGGTTGTTCACAAGCAAAGCACAAGGTTTCCTACTAGCGACGGCCTCCAACCCCAATAGTGATGGCATCCAAAAGTATTCTGCATTGTCACTTTTTTGTGGGTTCTTTCTGGTTCTTTTGATGTGACTCACAGGGAAGCACACCACGTTGACTCCGCTGGTCAATCTGTACCAGGTCCCTCAGGTTGTCGCTCAGGCTAACGAATCTGTGAGGACTGACCACATCCGTTGTGATGGGCATGGTGCCGAAAATGGGTCAGGAGCTTTCTGCAGGTCTTTGCATTTACTTATTTTGTACAGTAGAGCAGGACAAGACTTTAAATAGATGATTTGAGTGACATGTTTCTCACCTGTGCACTTGGAGACGTCCTCGCAAATTTCTCTCTACCCCAAGCCACTTGCCCTCTCCCACTTTTGCTTGAGGTCCTTGTTCTGTGCCCTTGCACACACCTCGGATGGCACTGTAGATGTGTCCCAATCACGATGTTTCCCAATGATAGCTGAAGCTGCGGCGCTTTTGCTTCCGCACCAAACAGTCCAAGGCATTCTTCTTCGAACATTTTGCCGTGACCTCGGTCTGCGAAGAGCGGGAGGGGACTTTAATCCCGACATGAAGTTGGTGCAAGACACTGTTGGCGCCAGTCTCGAGGCCGACGAAATGTTACTGCAGGACGTCAGATTGTCATTTGGGGTTCATTGGATTGTCATCCAGTGTCCATCGCATTGTTTCCCACAAAGCATTTGCAAAGATGAAACCGTGACATGCCAATAGGCTGTAGCTTGAAGGCGTTGCTTTCTTGAGGAGTATCCAGCGCCAAAGACGCCTATCGACACTCCCAAGACCATCTCCGTCTTTGCGAAGGTGAGAAGAAAAAAATATACTTTGAGAATCTTCGAGAATAAACATGAGTTGAGCAAGAACGCTATTAGGTGGAGGCCATCGCAAGTAGGTTGGAGGCCATCACTACTAGTAACAAGATGCTTTTAGGAACAAAGGTCGCTACTAGTAACAAGAAGGCTCAACAAGCGTCATGAAAGGTGAATGTTGAGGACCTTTTGGATGGCACGCACAGCGGCGGACCGAGCGGACAAAAGTGACAGCCAGATATTCAAACTGCAAAGCTGAGGAACCAACCAGCGGGCTGCCTTCTACCTCAGGTGTGGGACTGTAAAGGAAGCACATGTCCCAGTTCAAGTTATGACCGAACCTTGTCCAAGTTATTTGTTTGAGTTGTTTGGAGTTTTGCCATGGACAGGTGGCTGGCGACCTTGCTTGGAGATTTGCACCAACCTCTCCATTGGCACCTGGGCATTTGGGATTAGTGGAAAGGTAGCTGACTCTAGCGGTGGAGCGCTGCCAATGGGATTAGCTAGTGCACGTAGTCAGAACATAGTTGCTACATCGAACAGCTTGCACGTCGGCTAAGAAAGAGCTTTGATGTCGTTGGTGAGAAGATTCATCATGATTCATCACGAGTCATTGTTCCTTTTCCGATTCTTTTTGTAGATAGTTCTGATAAATTCTCTTAGAACTGGCCATCTGGACTCGAACCAGACCACTCCTGGGGTCTATGGTCTAGATTTGAGGCTGGCTGAGCAGGCCTACGGTGCAGAGGCGGCTTGCGCATGTCAACGGCCCAGTCATCCATTGCCTTCTTGGTACAGGTGAAGTTGGTCTTCAGAGGTGAGCAGTATACGCTTCTTCAATTTTGGGAGGACATCCCTTGAATGCCTGGAGCAGTTCTAATGGACGCGTTCTTTTCTGGAAGGAGTACCTGCCCAAGCACCTCCCTGAGATTCCACAGATTTCCACACTCGATCTGGAGTATGGAGCACAGCCTGCTGCTTATTAGATTATTAGACTTTGATGGTGGAGGAATGCCGTGCAATTTGGAAGAACGCATCAACATACGACGCATTCGTTTTCTTTTCCAATTTCCAATGGCTTCCAACTTGGAATGCAATGCAAACTACGTGGAAATGTTGAGGTATCACCAGTGGGGTGATCGCCTACCGCCCGAGCTCTTCCGGGAGTGGGGTGGTGAAATGTCTGAACAGGCTAGCTATTCCGCGACAACAGCATTCACAAACTGCCTATCACAGTTCTATCAAAGTCTTCGATTTGATTTCTTGGCCTTTTACGGCGGCGAGGTTTGCAACGAGATCTATGGTCCAATGTATGTGAACCATGGCGACGGAAGCCGAAGTATCGAGTCTCCATTCCAATTGTCCGAGGAGACCATCGATTGAAGCTACTAGAAACAAGTGCATCGCTTCTAGTAACAAGTGCCTTACTAGTAGTAGCAAGAAGCTAGTAGAAACAAGAAGCAATAGTCCGCATCTGTCAATCGATACCCAGATCGCTCTTAGGTTGGAAGCCGTCGCTAGTAGGTTGGCGGCCTTGCTATTGGGTTGAAGATCGGTCGGAGCAAATGCTATGCGATTAGCTTGCTATGCTCAATCTGATGGCTCTCAGCGGATCTCTGAGTCATTCTGCTTGCTGTCAGGAGCTTTTCTCTCGCTGGACCAAATTGGCTGAGAAGCTGATACATGACTGGTTGGGAAGGTTTGGAATCGGCTCATTCCCACGAACTTCCTTGTTTCACATTTTGTAGTGTTTTGCTTGGCCAATTTTAGGTCGGCTGTAGTCACTGTAGTCCGGGATGTGACCAACACGACAAATTCTAAAGTTTCTAAAGGATATTGTAAAAGCATTTAGCCACACAACAAGTGGCATCTTGCTATTTTCTTTGAATGGTAGTAAATAAGTGCAGGGTGTCCATTTTTATAGATGGCATCACTTTGGGTTTTGTCAGTGTACACGGTTGTACTTGCGCCTGAAACCTCAGGAGGGAGGCGAGCGATTAGCGCTGGTCTTCCTCGACATCATTGAGCACAGGCGGCACAAGGCGGGCGGAGACATGTCTGTGGTGTTTTGGCAATGAGAAGAGAATGCGATGGCCTCCACCCTAGAAAAGAATGCGTTTGAACATGCTTCCATTGGAGAGTGTGCAGTTTGTGAGTTCGTGTAGGCAGCGCAGAAAGAGGGCCGTGGCCTGTTGGAAGCCCCGGAGGGCTGAGCGGTGCAACAGTGCTGTCGCTACGCACCACACATGCGAAAACAATCTCCCAGCACACTCAGGCTTCCGCCTCTTGTGGACAAGCTGCCACCTGCGTGTGGTGGCCTGGGTTTCCGTGTCAGTATAAACGCTCGGAACTATTTGGAACTTCAAGTGCTTGAACTAGTAGCGTCCTTGCTCCTAGTAGCGATCCCAGGAGCCCCTAGTAGCGTCCTTGCTCCTAGTGCTTGAAACACTGTGCTGAATGGTACTTGGTGCCTGCGAGTTCCGATGTCACAAAGGAGCGTTGCGGCCACTCTGGGAGGCGGACATCTCTTTGAATACATTTCAGTCGTCAAACATCTTTTATGTTTTCTTCTTTTTTTGACCGGGGGGGGTAGGCCGCTAGTAGGGAGAGGTAGCTAGTAGTAGCTAGGTAGCTACTAACTACTGGACACAGGATGGCTCGCGCTAATGATTTGGTTCCTAGATTTTTGGGAAAAGATCTCTTTTGTTCTTTGCTCTTCTACCTAAAGTGCATCAAGATGGTGAACCTCGGGAGCAATCAAAGTGCGAAGTTGGCCAGGCAAGGGTACACCATACACTGTGCCAGCACCAGTGGTGGGAGTGGCACACTGAGCTCGTTCTGCAAGAAATGCAAATAATGCAAGGCGTAGCGTGTGGCCAGAAGCTAGCAGGTTGGAGGCCGTCGCTAGTAGATAGGAGGCCATGCTATTAGGTTGGAGGCCATTGCGATTAGGGTTGGAATGGAAGACATTTTAGTTTCTAGGTTTGAACCGCACAGACTTTGCCAGCGGCACGCTGCAGGGGCACCAACACCTAGAACATAGTGCGCTGGAGAGCCTAGAGCGACTCAGCGCTGGACCTCTCAAGTGGCAACCGATAGTATGTACACGCAGGTTGTCCACTATCAGAATATGTGACACCGGTATAAACAATGGGTCGCAAGCTATGGAAGCATGGCATGGAAGCATGGCCGGAGTGTTTAATATTAGAGGCAACAGTCCCGACCTTCTCCGGAATAGTAGTAACAAGAAGCTAGTAGAAACAAGTGCATCGCTTCTAGTAACAAGTGCCTTACTAGTAGTAACAA